TAGCAGAAAACATTTAGCAAATTATATATTCCAAATGTTCAAAACTGAAGTAAGGACAGACATACAATATATTTTTAGGCATTCAGCTTCAATTTCTAGAGTTGTAAACTCAACAGTTTGAGTTGAATTCAAATGTTTGAGTTGAAAAATACAATGCGTGTGTTTAGTGCTGAATTACACATTGCAGAAGAAATGACTAGTGAACCTGAAAGTAAAGCAATAGAAACTTATCTAATATGAAAGAAAAAATTCTATAAAAGAGAATTAGTGAGCCATGAGATTACTTCAAGCAGCCTAATTATGAGTATTTAGAATCCTCTCAAAAAAAAAGAGAAGCAGAAAATTTTTTTAAACATTTATTTATTTGAGTAGGCTCCATGCCCAATGTGGAGTCCAATGCAAGGCTTGAACTCATGATCCTGAGATCAAGACCTGAGCTAAGATCAAAAGTCAGACACTCAACTGGCTGAGCCATCCAGGTGCCCCAAAGCAGAAAAATTTTTGAATAATGACTGACAATTTACACCTAACAATCTTAATGAGCCCGTAGCACGAGAAACATTTTTTTGACACTTGATCTTAGCTAAAAGGCCGAGAAGCGGTAACAAGAAACATTTTTTTAAAAAAGCATTATACATCATAATCAAATTACTCAAAGGCCTTATGGGTATATCAGGATTCAAGAGTTTTATTTTCTTTAGTTATTGGGGAAGTTTGAGTACAGCAAGCTATTATGCGTCTCTCAAATGATATGTCTTGTACCACAGTATCCAGAAATGTTATCATCCAAAACCTGACTGCTTGCTGCTGGGTGGTTCTCCCTGGCTTTAAAAATAAGGCACAGTCTGGGGTGCCTGACTGGCTCAGTCAGTTAAGGGACTGCCTTTGGCTCAGGTCATGATCCCAGGGTCCTGGGACTGAGCCCCATGTCGGGCTCCCCACTCAGTGGGGAGTCTACTTCTACCCCTCCCTCTGACCCTTCCCCCACTCATGTGTGCGCAGACTCTCTCTCTCTCTCGAATAAATAAAAAAAAAATCTTAAAAAAAAATAAGGCACAGTCTAAAATCCACATAGAGCTTTGGACAGAATTTGTTGGTACCAGCACTCCAGTTTCTAACAGGGCATCAAAGTGGTAATATCTTTTTGACCACCAGGTATTCTATTTCAAATTAACAACCTGTTTCAGCTTTGGCAATTCTGTTGGTTTCCATTTAGAATGTCTATTTAATATTGGCTAAATAGTCCATTTACATGCCTTCTGTTTCACAACACTAGGTAAGGGAAGTATTCCTAGGCAAATATAATGTCCATTCTTTTTTTTTTTTTTTTTTAAGATTTTATTTGTTTGAGAGAGAAAGCATGAACAGGCGAGGGGCTCCCCTGAGCAGGGAGCCCAATGGGGCTCGATCCCAGGACTCTGGGATCATGACCTGAGCCGAAGGCAGATGCTTAACCAACTGAGCCACCCAGGCACCCCTATCATGTCCATTCTTGTCATATGTTCAGGTAGAGGAGATATAACCACTTCACATAAATGTTGTTAATTGCAATTTTTATCTAAACATTCAAATTAATTCCATCAACTATTGCATCCTAATATTTTCTGAATCTAAATGTCCCCCATAGGACTTCACCTAGGGTAAATGTTTTCAATCATGGCCACTGGTTTTCCATATCATAGAGTCTCAGAAAAGTTTCTTCCTCATCCATTGGCCATTAAACCCATACATTTGAATGTGCTTTGGGTTTCCAGCCAGAGGTTGGGCCAACGTTGGCCCTTTTGTCAATTCTTACACTGATCAGTTTGATGTTCCCAGGCAATTCAAAGTCCGGTTTCTCACTGTTATCTTTGCCTTGCAGCTTTTTAGCTTCTTTCAAGACAGGATAAACAGCAGATTTGTCCTTCAGTGTTGAGAGACTGCACAGGCTTCTGTTGATCCACCCCACCTCCAACAGTGCCACATTAAGACCTTTGCTTTGCTTCTGTCATTTTTCTGCTTTATTCTTCTTATTTCTAAAAAGTTTAAAGATTTCCACCCTGATATGATTCACTTGACTCTTACTTTTATCTTTCTTGTCTCTGGTATAAATCACTGCAACGATTTTTTATCGTTTCAGCGTATTTTTTTTCCTCTGGTAGCAGCCCTGTGCTGTACATCAGAATGGATGAAATACAAGCTTGGCCCAGATTGCAGATAATAATAACCAGTGAATTGTGTATTTAGCTTGTTTCCTCTTACTTTGTTTTTTTTCTTTTTTTTTTTTAAGATTTTATTTATTTATTTGAGAGAGAGAGAATGAGAGAGAGAGCACATGAGAGGGAGGAGGGTCAGAGGGAGAAGCAGACTCCCCGCCGAGCAGGGAGCCCGATGCGGGACTCGATCCCGGGACTCCAGGATCTTGACCTGAGCCGAAGGCAGTCGCTTAACCAACTGAGCCACCCAGGCGCCCTGTTTTTTTTCTGTTGTACCAGTGAGCCAGGTCTTCAGGAGTTGAATCTATCATTTCTAAATTCCACTGGTAACTTTTACCTTAAGTAACTGATTGCAGCACAGATGCAGTCTCATGCCATGGTAACTAGCCACCAAAGAATCTAAGATTAACTCCCCACCCCCACAGATGCTCTTGTCCTTCCTTTTTCCAAACAGTGCTTTTGCCATGTTTCAGTGAACCAGAGTCAATGCTAGAAAATCCCACTTCTGACATCAAGTGCAGTCATATGGTCCCTAAGACCATCTTCAGATTCAGTGAGTCACTAGAATAACTCAGATTTTAGAAAAGCTGTTTTACTCACATTCACCATTTATCATAATGTAAGATTAAATCAGGGGTGTGGTACATAGGGGAGGATCCAGGAGAGGTCAAGCATGAGCTTCCAGATGTCCTCTTTTTCAGTGAAGTCATGTGGACGGTACTTACATTTCCAAACAATGATGAGTAACAACACACACAGAGTATCACCAGTCAGGCTCGCCTGAGATTTTGTGTCCAAGGTTCTTACTGGGTGTTGGTCATATAGGTATTGCTGGTTGTCATATGGCTGCCCTCAGTCTCCAGCCCCTTCAGAGGACAAGTTGATACTGCATGGCCCAAGGCCTGCATCATAAACCCACACTGTTAGTATAGATTATCTTGCAAGGCCCAAGGAAGGCCTGTAGGTAAACAAAGATAATCTTATCAGAGAGACTATGCCAAGGCTTTAGAAGTTACCTACCAGAATCTGGTCAATGACCAAACCTTTCTTTGGAAGAGGATAACCCTTTACTGCACAAGGACTTAGAGTGATTTAGTGATTTGCCTCCCAATTTTAAGCTAGTAATTCAGTGCTAGGGTTCAAATGTACCCAAGTCCTCTAATTTTACCACAAGACCACACTGTTACCCATTCTATTATTTTTCCATTTATCTGAACTTAGGTTATGTTACATGGACTTCCCAAATAGTATTTTCACTGAGATTCCCACAACATATTTCAGTCCAGCCACAGAAGTCTTCCCTAACTCAATTCATACCTGACTTGTTTGATATTTTTCTTTAGATTACAACCAATCTGGATTTCTAGCTTCTATTAACCTACCTTCAGATCATTTCCAATATATTATTTACCAAGCTCTCTCTTCTCCTTTTACCCAAACATATCATCTGATTATACTTGTTCAATTCTCACATTATCTTATGTAATATTTCTCCCCTTTTAGACTAAACAGTATGATAGTATATGTATAGGAATATAAAATTAACCAATCCTTCCTTCAATTTGGATAATCACCCAGGAGAATACATATATATATATGTTTATATATATATATATATATATGTATGTATACTTTTTAAAGATTTATTTATTTGACAGAGAGAGACACAGTGAGAGAGGGAACATAAGCAGGGGG